CACAAAAGCGTGTGTTATAACGACGATGTCTTTGTTCTATGACCTAACAAGCTCGTATATTTATTATGGTTAACCCTAAGTTCAAGTTCCATACAAAATTGTGTGTTTCTATCGTAAATTTCAGGGAATATATGTTGAAAAAAGGCCTACTGACCCGAATATTGGAGCACCGTACAACACTGAATTCAAACACCGCATTCTTTTTCCGTTAGACCGATAAATACTGGCCACCGTCTTCTTTTGAATTATGCAATCTTCATACAAATATGATTCATTTGATGAAAGATTGTTGACTTGCTGTTACGTTATGTTGCTGTTATCATACGTTATATTATGGAAAATTTCAGAAGGTCTGATCTGTGTTAATACTACCAGTTATAGATAAGTGCAATGGTATCTATATATAGATAAGGATGTCTTTTCCTTTTCGAACTTATTCAAACTGATAAACCCCACATGAAAAGATTGAAGTTCTTGGCAGACTATACCATCTAACAACATCGAGAAAAAAAAGGAATGAAATATTTTTTAATGGGAATTTCTTATTGCATACTAATTTGATAAAGTTGCAAAAGTCATAACATAAATTTTCATGGTGTAGTTTTTGCAGGAACCCGGGCAATATTTCCATAATCTCTTCAGTTATGGTCTCCAATGTGCTTTTATTAAACAATCTTTTGCGAAAGTTTGACTTCATATTCTTTTTCTTATGTGGTGCGTTAAGCATATCGTCCTGAAATACAGGGAGGCGCTGATCCATTGGCGTACTGCTGATATCAGAAGACTTAGTTGGGCGCTCTCCAGTTGCTGCAGTATCTTCTGGAAGTATATGTAGCTTTGCAAATTTCACACGTTGCTTTGGCTTTTTCAGACATAGGTTTGAACGTCTTTTTTTCTGAAAGCAAACATTAATATAAAAAAATAAACGGTGCTAAAAATATAGAAATGCGGTGATTTTAAGGAGGAAGAATGCGGTGCCCTAATCTTATGATTGACAAAGTTGTGCGGTGCCTTAAAATACACACGTGGAAACATAAAAATCGTACCAAATATACAAAAAAACTGGTTATTTATGTATTGTAACTTGTTCATACGACAACAATGTACATATTTATATTGTATTTTGGCCAGTTATATGAACTGAACGGACTAGAAATACGTTATATTTCGTAATTAAAGCAAGATTTTTTTCAGTATGCCCTAAATGTTTTCACTATCCTGACTTAATTAATGAAGCATTTTGCATGTAGTAAGAATAAATAAGTTTCAAATTAAATGGCACATTCGATGAAAAAGAAAAAATGATGATTTTACCTTGATTTGAGCAAATTATCTGCTGTTTTCGTTTCGGTTACAGACTTGCTGTCCATTTTGTACCACAGAAATATACGGTGTCTCGGACAGAAGTAAGATATTTTGACGTTGCGCGGAAAAGTTGTGGTAATCGCCCTATCACCGTGAATATTATCACAAAATCCCTGCATGGGTTATTATTTATATTAAATCTTTTTTAATATATAGAAATTAATTAGAGGTTAATACTTGGTAGATGCTCGCCATTATGCGATAATGGCCCGATGATGTGCATAATGGCCTGAGGACCGAAGGCCCGAATGACATTATGAACTCGGGGGCCATTATCGCATAATGGCGAGCAGCAACCAAGTATTAACGTCTTTAATACCTATGTCCGAAATACGGCGCTAATCTTAATTGTCGCATTTTCTAAGAAACGGACAGTTGTAAACTAATATTTGTCATTATACAGTTTAGTACTCCGATTAACATAGGAAACAAGACAACAGAAAATAAATATGAGAAAATGTTGTTTTATTGATTATTTTTATCGATTAATGCAGTACTCTTCACATTTTTTTGTGAGAATAACATATTTATATCTAGTGCCAGTTTTTTTATGAACTTATGTCCCTTCAAAAACGGTTTCTTAGACTGATGTTTAGGTATAAATGCCACTAATCCGATCCTTTCTCTACCGTCAATCTGAAATCATTTTGTCATGTTTTGTCTTGAGTTTATAAATCTTCAATGTTAAGCTCTGTTGATTGCGATTAAATATGTTATTTTAAAAATATTTTGTGTGAAAATGACTACAGTACAGTTCATTCAACATCAGCAGCCACATTGAACGTCACTGAGAGTTGATAACGTCATTTTACACGTGCGCTCATTCACTCGCCCATTATTGAAAAAAAATAATGCCGGGTAGCAAGGCGGCCGAAATTGCATAATGACCTAGATCTTGTCATAATGGCCTTGAAATACCCTAGATTTTGTTACTATATATAGTAACATAGGTATTTATGACCTTTATCGGGATAAAAAGAATCACCTTCAGTTAGTTCAATTTCAAGTTAAGATTTGGACATTTAGAGTGTTCATTGTTGTGTCCGTTTCATAGCAACCTCGCATAAAACGTGAACGATACAATGCAAAGTGCATGCGGTTGTATGGACTTGGAAACTACTGTATTGATACAAGTGTAAGAAGGCTGGACTGGTGATCCATGTCTTTAGCGAGATTTTGCTTCTAACACAAATTTACAGGATATAAATCATGTAATTGATAATATGTAAAAAAATATCCACACTCGATCACAACACTTTAAATAATCTACAGATTTCTCCGGTTATCTATTAATAATACTAATTGTCTTTTTGATGATACCTTAAAAATCAAGTTCCTATTTAAAGCACCAGGGTGGCTTTAAGGACATTACTGAATGTGCATCACAATACGTGCAAGCGCACGTGACAATGAATAAACCGTTAGAAACAGATAACGTATTTCGAAAATGTAAACTGTCAAGCTGGTAACCGGTTCATTTACAGGAAGTCAACAATGTAATTCATTCTTAGCGTTTAAAAAGTAGCTGTACAACAGTAAAAATAATGTAAGCCTCGATTATTGATATAATACTTACTAGTTTTAAATCGGTCCTGGAAATAAAAGGTTTGTCAAAAGTGACAAAAATAAGTGTTTATAAGTTTTCCCCGCACAACAATGTTGTAAAGGGGGAATACTGGAATCAACTTGTCCGACCGGCCGTCTTAATATTTAGTATTGAGATAGGGCATGATTAGTAGATGACCCCTATTGATTTTGAGGTCACTAGGTCAAAGGTTTAGGTCACAGGGGCCTTGAAAAAAAGTGTCCGCCTAATAACTTAACTCGCCGGGAAAGGTCAGGGTCATAGGGGCCTTTAGTTTAAAACGCTTGTCCGCCCAATAACTTAAGAAACCTTTGATCCAGAGTCGTCTTCATATTTGGCATGGAGGTTTGTCATGACCATTAAATGACCCTACAGTTTTTGGGGTCACTGGATCAAAGGTCATGGTCACAAGGGCCTTGACGTCAAAACGCTTGTCAGTTCAATAACTTAAAAATTCTTTGACCAACAGTCATCAAATTTTACATGGATGTTAGTCACGACCATTTAGCGGCCCTTTTTGATTTTCATGTTACTGGTTCAAAGGTCAAGGTCACAAAGGCCTTAAGTTTAAAAAGCTTGTCCGTTCAATTATTTAAGAATGTTTTAGTCAACAGTCTTCATATTTGGTACAAAGTTTGGTTATGCCAAGTTGTTTACTCCTATTGATTTTTAGGACACTAGGTCAAAGGTCAAGGTCACAGAGGACATGGCCAAAAAAAGTTTGTCCGCCCAATAACATAAGAATCATTTGTCCCACAGTCTTTATATTTAATATTGAGGTGAGTCATAATTATTAGATGACCCCTATTTATTTTGAGGTCACTGGATCAAATGTCAAGGTCACATGGGCTTATTCATTTTGAGATCAGCAGATCAAAGGTAAAGGTCACTTTGATCTTTTCCACTAAAACACGTAGAATACGTAACTTAGCAATGTACTCAGATTTGGAAGGGAGGTAATCCTTGAGCTCTTAACGACCACTGTTGATTCTGACAAAGTGGGGTATTCATGCCATGACAGTGGCAGTTCTAGTTTATCTTGATTTTGAAGCAATCAATGGATTACTTTGCTACCTTTAATAGATTTGTAAAATTACTTAAATTTATGTATGCAACCCTTAATCTCTGTAGACATTAATCATAAAAGTCAAACCAGACAAATAAATTCAGGAATTCACGTAAAGAGATGTTTAACCGGTTAGTGCTTTTGGCATCTTTTTTTCATTCAATTGTATGATTCTAAAAAAAATATAAGTTTCATTCATTTCAATACGTATTTAGTGTGTAATTTTGTTAATTTTAAGGCAGCCTTGGTTACAACATCAGAAGGTATCAGCTTCTCTTAGTATTTACCAAAATTTAATTCATGAAACAGTTAACTACATGTATACTGTATTTCGGTCTTACCTACGCTTAGAAACTGTAAAAAGTTCTGAAATTGTCTATGGAGGTCAATCGTCACTGTAGATTCCTTTGAAGGAAAAACTTTGGGGATTTTACAAACTCGAAGTGTGTGGGTATCTGATTGTTTCTGCAAGGAGGGGCATTTACCAGAGTTTTAATAATCTAAAGGTCACATCCGGGGTGGAGAGAAATGGGGCAGAAGCTACAATTTGTTGGCATAATTGTATAATTGTTTTGAACGCAAATATTTACTATTAATCATTTTTAAATAGATCAATAAAGTGTTTTGAAATTACAAGAAATCTAACAAATAATTAGCTCAGAAAAAAAAAATGAGTATTGTACAATAGATATGAAAATTTTAAGAATTTTTTAGATATCAAAAATGTATCTGTAGCCTTCATGTTTAATGCAAAATTGATGAATACATGTAGCTCTTTTATCATCATACCCTGTTATAAACAGAATAAGGTTTTCCCAAATATAGACACAATTTAGGCAATTTCTGTCGACTTACAGCAGTCGGATATCAAGTGCTTGTCAGAAATATATACTAGGATTATGGATGACAATGTACAAGCAATTTATTATTAATGATTTATTTGTCAAAAGTTTCAACTGCACAACTGCGTTTTGTTTATTTCAGAACAAATGCAATGGAACAGGAGCAGACAATCGCATCGTATAACATTTCTTACATACAGCAATTCTTAACGAAGTCAAGATCTTACTGCCCTCTCACCACTCACCAGTTCCTTCTAAATTGCTGGATATCCTTGTTGATTAGCACTTGAAATCAAATTATTGTCTGCTGTATACGCTTGATGGCGACTTCAAATAAGAAATCGGAAAAAAAGGAAGTAGCATTAGATATATTTTGTGACCCATGTAAGACTGGGGATGAACATAAATTATCTACTGCCGTAAGTTTCTGCCGATACTGCAATGAATATTTGTGTCAGAATTGCCACACTGTTCATAAACAATTAAAAGCAACAAAAACTCATTTGGTTAAGCTACAGAATGAAATGCCTTTAGAACGTATGTCAAACACAACAGACACAGATCCGCCAGAAAAATGCCTAGCTCACGGGGATCAAGTGATTGATAATTATTGCGTAACACACGAAGAGCTTTGCTGTCCGCAATGCTTAGCTACAAATCATAAGACCTGTGAAGATGTTCGAAATATTAAAGATTATCTATATACTTTCGACTTTCAACAAGAGGAAAACGAAATAGAATGTAAAATGCGACAACTAGCCGACGAAGTGGATAAAATAATGTACCGTGTCAATTCAAGCCTAAAAACCGTTGACTATTACTATAGTAAAGCTCAATCTGAAATGTTAAATGTGAAACATTCTGCCATTGATCATATAGAAAGTATATATAAAGAACTTAGTAAAGAAGTAAACAGAATGAGAGAAGGAGATTTAGAAAGAATCATGCAGTATAAAAACAAATGCGATGCTATAACATTTGACATGAGAACAATAGGTGCTTACTTAAGCGGAAAGAAGAAATCCAGTGGAGACCAATTATTCTTTGCAATGAAAAATATTGATGTGAAGATTAAGTCAAATTTACGGGATTTGACGAAAGTAAAATGCATTGAACATTATAATATTACTAGATATCATTTTGAGCCGGATGGTGAATTAGATAACATGAAGTCTAAACTAAGTAGTTTTGGGTCAATACAATCAGATTCTAATGTAATAAAATCAGCTGCAAAAGTAAGAAGTTTGCACGTCAAAGACGACGACGATGAGGAAAACTGCTGCATAACAGGAATTGCATTATTAGCGAAAACACGTATTGTTTTGGTTGATAATAACAATTTGAAATTGAAACTATTTCATATGGAAGAAGATAAGTTAGTGTCAAAAATAGAATATGAATCAGCACCATGGGATGTTACATGTGTTTCCAACAGTCGAATAGCTGTTACATTCCCAGACCAGAAAATAGTTGAATTACTATCAATCGACGGTACTTCAAAATTAACTAGAGAACAAGACAATTGTCGTATAACATGCTCAGGCAAATGCTATGGGATTACCAGTTCTAATGATACAGTCATTGTTACTGTCAAGACAGATGATGAGACAAGAAAAGTTGAGCGGTATAAGTTAGATGGTTCATTACTGTTATCGGTTGGTGTCGATGTCGAAAATCCGCAATATATTGTCTGTTATGAGGATGAAGCAAGGACATATATTTCGGATAACACTGGAAATAAACGTATTGTAGAATTATCAAGTGATAACTTCACAACGCTTGATAAATTAGGTTCATGTCGAGATGAAGTAACAGGCATGGCGATAGACAAAGCAGGTATTTTGTACTATTGTGATTCATACTACCATGAAATAGATTTAGTCAATTTAAACAAAGAGCAAGCTGAAGAAAGAAAACGACATAACCTAATCTCGGACAAAGAACCTAACCCAAAGTGCTTAGCATTTTGTAATAATACCAAACAACTATTTGTTGGTTTGGATGGAAATGAAATAAAGATATACTCTGTGTTTTAAATTTTTTAAATAAACTAGTATTTCCCCTGTTGTTCATATTGTTCATTCATGATGGGTAATAATTTTTTTGATAGACATTCAGGTGTATTTTCATACACATATGTCTTATGTATAATAAGGTGAACTTTGCTCATTGACACATAGTGCTAAATCACTGTTAGATAGATGGTCTGGGTTTCAGTTATTTATTGAATGATTTATCCGAAGGTAAACCTGTAACTGACCTCCAAGTTAGTTATGTATTTTTCAATTTAGTTTTATCATATTTTAGTGTATATATATACATGTTATATTGTTAATTTATATTGTTAATTTTTATATTGAAGGCTATTGTATGTTTATGTCAAAAATTCACTAATAAGATTTCGATGATCTGCTCATTAATTTGCTTTTGAAGAAGGACATTTATTGTACATAGATAGGACTAATTGGACATGATAAATATATAAATATTATTTTTGTACTTGTCTGTCCATTGCATGTATTACTACAAGTGAATGTCTCCCAAAATTTTATTGCCCTCGGCCAACTATTTTTACTTTCAGCCAATCCAGCTTGATATGTCAACTCTTTAAATATGTTTTCTTAGCTAATGACTATGTTACGGCACATATATACACAATAAACGTACAAGTGTGGGAATTCTTACAGTAGAAGCATAATGTCAACAACTTTTGAAATGAAAGTTTTTTGTTAATGTGCGCAAAAATATCCTTTCTTCAAATACTTTGTTTTAGATTTTTTTTCACATAATATGCATATTTCTGCTTTAAATACTCTAGAAGGATAAGATTTATCCCTCTTATATAGTTGATCTATGCCATATTATTGTTTTTCCCCTTATTTAATGTATTTGTCTAGCAAAAGAAACATTTAACATGTGTATGTACATATAAACAATTTTTGAATATGATCCTGTGTTATTTTACTTCTTTATCTTATCTGAATAACCATTCTCTTAGTTTAAAGGTCATTTTCAGCTTATATTTTATCGAGACTATAGTTTCACTTTAATGTATATTGGCATATCGGCATACAATATGCGCCGTTGTTATACGTTTTTTAAAATGCGTGACTCTGGGCCCAATGTTAGAACGAAATATGACTGTCCCGGTAGTTTTATTATCAGAACATAATAGAGTACGTATTACGCAAGTTATGTTTTTTAAACGAAATGCAGATAACAAAACAAAGAATTACCAATTTAGACGCATACTTTCACGATAATTTATAATATCCTCGCCCAGCGGATTCTTGTTTTCAATGCGTCGTCGTGCTTTTGCAAAAAGTGCATTAGTCGTCTTATATTCTACATGCAAAGAAATTATTAATCTTATATTTTGTCAAGTGAGACAACATAACAAGTGTTGGTATTCGGACTCAAGTATTATGAGAACAAATGTTACCTTACTTATGTTTCTATCAATACCGACATCCTTCCCTCTTTTAATTTCAATAGGATTGGAGCATAATCTGAGACCAAATGGTTGTTTTCTACATGTATGTGTTTCATCTTTAACATCGTCAATGCGTACAAAGATAAAGTTTTAAATTATTTAGAGTAGAATAACAGATTGATTCACTACAATGTCATTCAAATCTTGTTCATATTGGTCTCGTATAGTTAGTATCAAAGATGTTAGCGTTATATCATACATTATCTAACATATATTTAATATCTGTTTCTCGTGTTACTATTAACAAATCACCTAATTCTCTATATACTATGAGTTAGTGAATTTTGTGATTCAATTATCACTACCACGCTCTTTGCAAATGATAGAAACGGGGAAATTCCTAAGCTCTACAAGGACAGCAGCATTTGGTGTTTTAGGACGAACCCCATAAACTCTTAAAGAACGTGAGATGTATTTTGTTAACTGTTTTCTAATACACAAAAACAGATCATAAATCATATTTCAGCATCTCGAAACATTATGCGTGTAACTAGGAAGTCAAACTAGGAAAGTTTTAACATCTCTCTTAATTATGAAAATAGTTTATTGTAAGCATTAAAAATTTTTTAGAGCTTGGTCAATCAGTGCCTTTACAGCATTTATCAGCTGCAGTCTGGGAAGTATTTTACCTAACTGACAAACATTAAGAAAGGAGCGTTTTGTTTTGTTTTTAATTTTCTTAACATTTGTATATTTACAAATAACTTATATGATTATGAAGTTTCTAAAATGTTATACATATATATCAAATATCAAACAGAAGAATACTAGCTAGTGTGTAATATGGTTTCAATTCTCTGTGATTTAGTTTGTATTATGTATTTTTTCAAACAAATGTTTTTATAGGGTCATATAACCTGTCAAAAATCTTTATAACTAATAATAAAAAGTAACTTAATATATGGGCACATGAATAATGCAATTAATTGAAATATCAAGTCATGTGACATATACATTTAGAAAAAAACATGCTACAAATAGTAATATACTATGGAGTTCTTTTTTCTTTAATTAATGCCATAATTAGTGTAATTAGTAAATTACATAGCATTAAAAGTTCACCCCTTAATTAAAGTGTGAAATAAAAAGTTAAACATCACAAATAAGACTATCGAACTCCGACTTTTGATCATCGTCGACCTCGGTAAATGGTAACAAGTTATTTCCATTATAACTCTTATAACCGGGTTCATTCGGTTTGTCGATTATAAACTCCTTCAATTCAATAGGGATTGAACTTTGATTCAAAGCCCCATTTTGACTACAATGATCAAGGATGCGATTGGTCATTTGACTCGTTCTTTGCAGAAATTAGGCGGTTTTCTAGTCGAATCAATATAAATGGTCCAATGATAAGATGTCCTATGCCAGATCAAAGAAGGTTAGAAAAAATGGTCTAAAAAGATTAAAGAACGCAAGCACACAAACAACTACGAAATATATAAACGTACTTCTTGCCTATGTTTTGAAATGCTTTGAGTGGAGCTGCTTTGTATGCGATGACGTCATGGTGTTTTCACGAATAACTGTTTTTAATGGTAAAAGATGCATTGAAAAGAAATGATCAGAAATTGCATTGAATAAAATTTCACTATAGTTACATTAAATAAGTATTTACTTGATTCTTTATAGTAATTAAGGTCGACTATTTGACGAATTGCACCCCGGTGTCGGCGTCAACATTGCTTTCACACTTTCATAAAGTTTTTGCGTGCAAGCTGATATCAGTATAACCATTTTAGGGAATGGGTTGTCACACACTTGTCATCTATGACCATCTGTCATGAGGGGCACATGTCCCATAACTCCAGTCTAATTATTTTTACAGAGTTTTGTCCCTCTTCTTACTGTCAAGCATCGAGAATAGAACAGTTCTCAGAAAGTCAAAATACTTCTTTGTTTACATTTTGCTATTTTCATAACAAATAATTTCACAATTAGAGCTACTTTCTTCAAGTAAAAAATTGCACTAAAACCATTATATAAACGTTATACAACGAATGGTTGCTCTATCTGAAAATTTAAAAATAAGGCATAACGTGCCTTTAAACCAAGAGTGTAAAATAACATTTGATTACAAAGTCCTTACAATTATTACATGCAGCATATACAGATGTACCGTTTGGCCTTATTCAGTAGTATTCCATTGTTATGCAGGAGAATAATTTGTTTATCGGAACATTATTAAAACTTAAAACTGAATAAAACAAGTACAAATGAAGTAAGAAAGATAAAAATGAACCCCAAAAAACTTTCATGGACTTAACTTTTCAAAATGTCCTTTGTATGTTTCGCGGCAAATGGTATATCATGATATTACAGCAAAATATCAAAGGGCGTCCAAGCATCAAATACAGCAAATAACGATGAACTTGTAGACATCTGATGACTAGGTTTTAATGGTTAATTGGATTTTACCAGCATTGTATATCATAGATAAATGGCTGAATAGGAGGACAAAAGACGTTGTTCATCATTAACTTTGGTAGGTTTGCTAGAGATTAGAATATTAAATGTATTTCTTTGGAACATACAAAACAGTATTCAAAATGAACAAAGTCTGTTTATTTTTATTATTATAATTATTGTAACAAATATACAAATTGTAACAAAAGGCACTAATATAGTAGTATTTCATGATTTTTTTCATGTCAAATTAAAAAATGGTTTCTATTAATACCTGGGATTTAAGAAACAGTAGATATATGTCAAGTCCCAGATAAATACATGTAATGAAATTATAACAAACACTGGAATGAAAAAAAAATGGGATGAATTTAAAAAGATCAAATTTAGGAATTTTTGTGAAATACCCGTTATATGGTGAAACATTATTTATCAATAAAATGGAAGACTATTACATGAATTTAAGACAGGTATGAGGAAATTCACTAGCATCATGTTCGTGGGAGTCAAAGATATAAAAGCTTCTTGATATTGGTGATATATAAAGAGCTATTGTTAATTGATTTATTGGGATATTAATCTACAAAATAATAAGTAACTCTGTGTAGAAGATACACATGTAAGAAATAAATCGCCGAATTAAAGTTCATTTTTGTCTTGTCTTTTATACTGCTTTCCCAGCGGTTGAGGCGTGAAATTTATTCCCATTCTCATTGCTGCAAATCACCGAAGGGGAAACCAACATATGACTTTACATATTAATAGAAATCGGAAGGAATATTTGATTCGAATTTATTTTTTGTTGTAAATCGAAGGGATTAACTGATAAAAAAATCGGGTTCATGGACAAAAAATAATCGTCAATAGTCAATCGTCATATACCGCGCTTTTGGGCGCGGAGCAATAATTTCAAAAAGCGTTTGCTTGAAAGGGGAGATAACACAACTTAGAAGTAGCTAAAGCTGATATGTGTTAGTCTCCCCTGTATTTTTAAACAAAAAGATGGTAGTCTGATAAAGTAGTTATTTTTCAAATCGAAAGGAGAGGTAAACCTTCCAGCTTTAACGTCAAACACCTCACAGCCGTTACGTCAAGCTTTGCTACTTTCTGTTTCTGATCAGGGGAAGTTACGGCTGCGGGGAGTTTGCTTGAAAGTTGGAGAAAGACCACACCAATGGAAGGATTTTACGCCATCGAGCATTGTGCAGATGTACGATGACGCAGTATCCCACCATTAGCGGGAACATTAGAAGAATAAACCGCCTTCTGTTTGATGGAGTTATAATAGCTTTCACATGTAAATCTTTTGACAAACATGTGACAATTGGAGTTCTATCAAAGGTGCAAGTAGACATAGAGCACGTTGACAATTACATTGTTTTTTAATTAAACTTTGCATATAATAAAATATATTTACTAGATGTCTACATATAGAAACTTATTGTTTCTTTAATTTCAGTTATTTCAGAAAGGAAAGCAAAAATAATGAGTCTGATAGTAAAAGTCAAGATTTGAAGAACGAGATTTAAAAGAAATCGGCTTACTTTAAGCGAATCTAATAAATGTCTAGTGCTTAATACTTAGCAATTTTTATCCATATTACAAAAGGTGACATTGCTTTGCATTGCCTTGCGTTCAAAACATAGAATTTATGATATATATTTATATATTCCGTTTTCAGTAAAGTACACATTATGTGTATTTTTGTGATTACATTTAGCAAAATACTGTATTTTTTACTGACAACTTAGACACATTTCCATAATAGTGTGAGCACAAATTGAAGTCAAACTCATTGTTTTCTCATTTACTTTTTATGTAAGCTCAGATTTGCAAGGTGAAAGAAAAAAATCCATTTATTTTCTTTCTTCTTTCTAGAGATAAAAAGTGTAATATTGATTTGACAACTCGCGCATGCGCAATTTATAGCCCCACGCGTAACGGCCCTTAATTTTGTCTGTCTTGCTTCTTATTAGTATCCAACATTCTTTTTAATTAAATGAAAATACACAAGGAAGGGGAAATAATGAAGAAGAAATCAAATGAAATG